CTGGGTTTGTAGCATTCAGAAGTCTCAGTTACCTCCCAGCGTGACCTTTTATTTTCTAATATCTTAGAATCTGCCCTCCCCACTCTCACCTGGCTTTCCTGGTCGCGCAGCTGCTCATGATCCTGGGCCAACTAGGATATGGTTTTGAAGGGTGAATTTAAGATTAACTTCATTACAATGGCAAGGCCTCCTAGTAGAAATGCCCAAGAGATAACTGGAGTTATGAGACTGGCCTTTGTGTCAAAAGTCCAGGTTAGAGGTAGAGTTTGGGCATCATCTTTGTAGAGGTGATGGTTTAACCTGTGATAATTGGGTCTGATTATTGAGGGCATGACTGTAGGAGTGGAGAATGAGATTCCCAGGATTGAGCCTTCTGGAAAACCATGTTTTAGGAAGGGACTAAGAAAGTGAGCCAGGATCAGATTTACAAGGAATGGTTAAATAAGTGGGAGGAATACAGATGTCTCCGTAGCCAAAGGAGGAGGACCTATCAGGAGAGGCTGGTCCACAGAATGAAATATGAGCAAGAGACCTTCGGACTTGAGAGTAAATTGGGCATTGATATTCACAAGTTTTGGTAAAATGATGGAGCAGAAGCCAGATTTCAGGGAGGCAGGAGAAGATGGATGTTGGGAATGTGAGGACTGATCAAACACATTTGTCGAGCAGTTACAGCATTCATGGCACTTGTGCCTACGCTGTTGTGAACTTACCACTTACTGATACACCATCCAAGAGTATCAAACCAGGGAAGAATCCATGAGTGTTCATTGCAATAAGTTCAGAAGACGTAAGTGGATCATGATTAATTGCCTAATGCATGATATGGACACTGTGAGTACACTTGAGGGCACTTAAGTTTGGAATTCTCTCTGAAAGCTTCTCTTGTCTATTTCTGCCTCTCTTAGCCTACCCATCCCTCTTCTAATTAAGGGTTCCAATTTTCCATGAGTTAGGAGACAGTCAAGACCATTTCATTCAGTAAAAATCAGAATATACTGAGTACAGTCCAGAGAGGTAACATGTGCAGCATGTTGTGACAAGCATATGGGCTCTTTAGCTAGGGGTGGCCTAGCCGCCTCAGAAGCCTCCCGGAAAGTGGGTTGTTATAAGAAAGAATTAGGGGTTATGAAACAGGTGCGCAGTTGTGGTGAATCAGGACTCCGGTCCTGATGGGAAGAGTAACGCAGCCGTTCAGCTGCTTGCGGGACAGCCCGGCTTCTTCAGATCGTGGCTTTGAGGCCATTCAGCCTGGGAAAAGTGACACTCATGGGGTTTTTGTTTTCCTCCCACTGAGGTCTGTAGAAATGTTGTGTCTTCATTATCTAGTTACCATCTTAATGTTGGAGGGAGAAGCCCTTTTTTCTTTTTCCCTATCAGTCATTAAGGCTAACGTCAATGTAGGTTAAGTGTAAAAAGAAACGTAGGTTCAGGACTAGAGATTAGAACAATTGGTGTTACCTCCACAAGGCTAGTACAGAATGTAGCATGTCCCCTTCATGAGTGTTGTGTTGACTTCAAATGCTTTGGGTTTTTAAGAGGAGAATAAGTAGCCTCTGTTAAATCCTGCCACTAGATAAAAGCCGTCCCAAAGCAGATGGCTCTCAGTCTTCTGAGCAGGGCCTTGCCTGCCTGTCAGTGTGAGGCAGTGCTTCCCTCTCAAAGGAAATAGTCACATCATCATCCTTGAGCCTCATCTCACTTGTGCCAACATCTCCCCAGAGCCGCACAGCTAGGGTAGTACTCACGCCCAGGTTTTCTAACCTGTGGAACTGGAGCGCTGTGCTTCAGTAATCGCACAGAATGCTATCAGAAGTCAGGAGACTTTAGTTTCAGTTAGAGTGCTGACACTAACTAGCAATGTGAGTAAATGTGTATTTTCCCCTCCATGGGGCCTCAGTTTACCCAATTTCTCTGGTCTAGATGATTTGTCAGAATGATCCAGCTCTGAAATTTTAAGATCTATCTTTATTTCTGCATGAGTAGCTTCAGCCTGGTGATTCTAGGGTTGGCCTGGTAGCATATTTTTTCCTAGTTGAAGCTAATGATCCAGCACATTTTCTTTTGATGATCTTACTTCAGAGAAAAGTGGCTTGTAGTAAATGGAATAATGTGAGTAATGGTGAAATTGCTTGGAGATTAGAGAATCAGGGCAGTGAGGTGTACTGGAAGAACACTGAACTGAAAGCTAAGACATTTGGGGTCTTGTCCCAGTATTGACATTAAGTCATTCTGGGACCTTGGACAATCACTTGAACTATTCTGGGCCTTAGTTTTCCCATTTATAAAATCACAACATTGAACCAACATCTCTAGTTCCCAGCTGTGCAGTTCCAGGGTCAATTCCTAGAATTATTATCTGTTGCTGTTGGACTTCCTATTCTGGAATCCAGACAGAGCATAGTGATGTTTATGTTCATTGCCTAGGAATACTTACCACTCACTGGCCGGATTGTCTGATATTTCTAAGCAGAGCACAGACAGTGACTTCTGACCAAGAAAAACGGTTGCTGCATCAGCTCCGAGAAATCACCAGGGTCATGAAAGAAGGAAAACTCATTGACAGACCCACTCCAGAGAAAGAAGCTGAGGAGGCCCCTTACATGGAGGACTGGGAAGGTAAACAGTGTCTTCTTACTTCTTTGTTAACCATCAGCCCAGAAGAGAGATCTTATAAAATTTTTTTAATCAGCTTTATTACTGAGGTATAATTTATATACAATAAAATTCACAAATGTTAAGTGCAGAGTTGGATGAGTTGTGACGGATGTGTAGAGTTGTGTAATCATACCACAGTCATGATATTACCATCATCTCGGAAAGTTCCCTCCTCTGCTGCGAATCCCCTCCTTCTGCCCCTGCAATAGCTGAACTGCTTTCTGTCTCTATAGCTTTACCTTTTCTATATAAATGGATCATAGCACGTGCTCTTCTGTTTCTGCCTTCATTGATTCAGTGTAATGCTTTTGAGATTCATGCGTTGAGTGGTATGAGTAGTTCCGTCTCTTTTTTTTAAATTGCTAAATGGTGTTCTGTTATCTGGATGTACCACAATTTGCTTCTCCACTCACCAGTTTAGGAACAATTGGGTTGTTTCCAGCTTTGAGCTATTATGAATCAAACTGCTATGAACTTTTGCATACAAGTTTTTACTGGAACATATATTTGTATTTCTTTGGGTATATACCTAAGAATGAGGTTTCTGGATTTTATAAGTGTATGTTCAACTTTGTTAGAAACTGTCAGTCTGCTTTCCATTTTGCCTTCCCACCTGAAATGTGTGAGAATTGCAGTCACTCCACATCCTTGGTAACACTTGGTACTGCCAGTCTTTTTAATTTGAGCTGTTTTAGTGAATGTATAGTGGTATCTCGATTGTGACTTTAGTATGTATTTCCCCAGTGACTGATGATGTTGAATATTTGTTCATGTACTTATTTGCCATCTGTATATCTTCAGTGAAGTGTCTGTTCATTGTTTGCCACTTTCTTTATTGAGTTGGTTGTGTTCGCATTGAGTTGCAAGAGTTCCTTCTATATTCTGGGCATAAGTTATCAGTTACAAATTTTGAAAATATTTTCTCCTAATCTGTGGCTTGCCTTTTTATTTTCTTAGTGGCATCTTTCCAAGAGCAGATTTTTTTTCATTTCAATGAAGTCCAGTTTATCATTTTCTCTTTTATGATTCACTTTTTTGTGTGTCTAAGATAACTTTGCCTAACTCAAGGTTTGCCTAACTTGTCTGTTTTCTTCTAGAAATGTTAGTTTTAGCTCTTACATTTAGGCCTATGGTCCATTTTGAGTTAGTTTTTATATGGCTTGAGGTATAAGGACTGAGGGGTTTTTTTCCATTTGATATTTAATTATTCTAGCTTATTTTGTTACATTTTATTACCTTGGCATGTTGGTTGGAAATCAACCCTTCCCCTTTCGGAAAATGGAAAATCAGTTGACCATATGTGTGAGTCTATTCTGGACTTGCTGTTCTCTTTCATTGATCTGTGTGTCTGTACTTATGCCAAGACCACAATGTCTTTTTTCGCTGTGTCTTTATATTGTCTTGAAATCAGGTAGTGCAAGTTCTTCAACTATGTTTTGTTCAAAATTATTTCAGTAATTCTAGGCTCTTCACATTTGCATATAAATTAAGAATCAGTGTGTCAGTTTCTACAAAGAAAAGCCTGATGGCATTTTGATTGGCATTACATTGAATCTTTAAATCAGTTTAGAAGAATTGACATGAAAACAATATTGAATCTTCCATTCCATGAACATTTTATCTCTCTCCATTTATTTAGATCTTTAATATTTCAGCAAATTTTTTTTATAGTTTTCAGTATCTAGGGTCTTGCACATGTTTTGTAAATTTATCCTTAAAGTTTGTTTTTTTGATGGTGATATTTAAAATTTTTAAATTGCTTATTGCTATTTGTATAGAAACACAATTTATCTTTGTATTCTGATCTTGTATCCTGCAACTGTCCTAAACAGACTTAAGTCTAGTAGCTTTTTTAAATATTTCTTATAAAAGAAAATATTTAGTTGAAAAAAGACTCAAGTCTTTGGCCATAAAGAACTCACTAAATGTTAGGTAAAAATACTTGGAAAAATCCACACATTAAGACGTACTCAGACATATGCTGATGAATCTGTACGAATTCAAATTTTTCAGTATAAAAAGAATACCAACTTCCATACAGAAACCAAAAACTAGCTAACTAAAAACAGGTTGCCCATTGAGAAAAAGACTCAGACTGGGATAAGATTTGTCATTTTCAACATCAAATGGAAAGAGAGTGAAGCAATGTTTTCAGACTTATAAGGGAAAATGGCATGATCTATGATTTTATACCCAGCCAAACAATTCTTTCTATAAAGGTGAAAAGTGGTATGTGTAGTACTCAGAAAGTACACCACTCTATTGGGGGGGGGGCTTAAGGAAGTATTCTGACAGATACAAAAATTAAAATTCAAGGAAGAAGATACTGTATAGAAGAAAGTGTTGAACAATGAAATCAGTAAGAGTTATCTGCCCTCTCATTCTAGAATTCTGGTAATTCTGAGATTGGATCTTGAATGAGTCTTCTATGCATCTTATCTTTATAATTTCCATTTCTTTGTCATTTTTATCTTTGTCCTAGGAGAATTCCTCACCTTGAACTTCTAGCATATTATTGTGGTTCTCAGTCATGTCCATTTCAACCTGCTGTTTTCTTCTATTAAGTTTAATTTTGTTTTGCAGTTATGACTTTCTTTTTCTAACAGCTCTTTGCTCCCTGTTTTAGAGTGAAGCCTGGTTGGTTTTATCAGTGCAATAACCTGTTGAGTATTACTGGCAGTCAGTTATAAGTTTATTGACATTAACTCTTGTTTCCTGCGTTGACTTTTTTTAGGGCTCATTTACATAGTTTGCTTAGTTTGGTTTCTCTGTTTTGAACTGCTTATTTCCTCTTAGGACAGTGAGTTTTTGTTGCTTGCTCATATTTTTAGTGAAGTTCTTGAGTAACCAGTAATAGTGACTGACATGGGCTACCTTAGTAGTTACGTGAGTCACTATTTGATTTTTCCTCAGCAGGCTTCCCCCTCTTAAACCAAAGCAGATAGTCATGGAAGTCCAAAGGTAAGCTTTGTTCTTGGTGTGGGGAGAAGGCAGGAACATTCCAGAAAATGGACTTCTCTTAAGCATTCAGTGGCTAGGCGCTAATTTGCAAGTAGACTTGCCCAGCCTCTGCCCTTCACCAAGTTGACTATGAGGGCCTTGGGTAGCTGAGATCCATTTCACCACGCCTTCATCCATAGTCAGTTAAGCCTGGGAGTGAGGACTGCATTGACAAGGTTCCTAACGTACTACAATAGGTGCTCATGAGGATGTGATAAGATGCACAGTTTTTTTACATCACCAGTAGGACTAAGAATTTATACAATTCTTCTGGAAAGTAATTTGGCAGAGTGTAAAAAAGACTTTTAAAATGTCCATTCCCTTTGATCTGGTTTTCATATTTCTAAAAGTCTATCTTAAAGAAATAGGGAAGTGGACATGGGTTTACATTCAGAGATCTTAACTAATATGTAACTTATAATGGAAATTTGGAAAGAATCTGTCTTAAAGAAGAGGGATGGTGTATCATGTCAGTTATGTAGCTGTGCGGTGGCATAACTGTAGCCAACTTTAAAATGCCTGATAACATTATTATATCATGAGCATTTCTCCATGTTAAATGAAAAAAATCCGGGTACAACATTCTATATCCAGTATGATCCTTCTTTGTTAAAGAAAAGAAAAATATATGTTTATATATGATAAAAAAGACCAGAGATAGTACAGCAAATTGTTATCAGTGGTGGGATTCTAGGTGATTTGTGTTTTCTTTTTAAAACTTGTGTTTTTCAAATTTTCTACAATGAGTCTGTATAACTTTTAATGTTTTTTGTTTTTTTTTGTTTTTTTTTTTTTTGATTATCAATGTTGTAAAAATGTCTCTTCACACCCACCACGGCACCAAAAAAGCACCCTGGTTTTCAGAATTTGTAGGCAAAAAAAAAAAAGGGTTTACGTTAGGGTTGAATTTGCCAATTATCATAATGTGCAAGTGGATTTTGAATTCTCCAGCTTTCACATTGCGCAGGGAGCACGGCTGCTATTGCCAGCACTGGCATATGAGCTCCAGCACGGCCCATCTGCCGCTCAGGCGCGGCTTGGCTGACACAGATTTATTTCATTTCGTTCTTTAATTTGGCACCATTTTCCCTTTTCTCATTATCGTTGCTGGGATTCATTTTGTTTACCAGTTTGTTGTTTTCTTTTGTTCCCTTTTGTGAAGATGGAGAAGCCAACAATGGGAATTCTGTCTTTTGAAAATGCAGTCCTTGTCCTTCGGGATCTTGGGCATGTCTCGCTGAAGTGCTCTGTTTCTGACACTTGCAAGCCATTTCCAATTGTTCTGATGAGTAGAAGGCTTTGTGGTGTATTTTTCAAAGAGCTCAGCATTCCTTCCCTCCTCCCCTCCCCACCCTGGGAAAATTTAGAAATGGTTCCAAATAGAAATTATAAACATTAGCCTTGAGCTATGTGCTCTCCATCTGGTGTTTGGTACATGTTTTTTTTCCCCTGTAACTGAGGCTCACGTTGTTTGTTTAATCTTCATCACTACTGTAGAAGCTTGAGGTGTGAGACGTACACTCTGCCCCGAGCACCCTGCACTTAGGAAGGGGATTTTCAACTGAATTGGTTTGTGTTTCAGAGAGCTGGGGGACGGTCAGCAGACCGTCAAGAATTTGCTCAAGTGAAACTTAAGCACTGTTAGAGGCATTTTAGAGTTTTCTGGAATGGATTTGTTGGATAGGATGGCTGCTGCCTGAGAAGCCTCTTTAAGCCTGACGCTGTTTATTTTGAAGAGAAATTCTTTGTAAGACCTTGTGCCACTTTTTTCTCTAGGTTACCCTGAAGAGACTTATCCAATTTATGACCTTTCAGATTGCATCAAGCATAGGCAAGAAACCATCCTAGTGGATTACCCCAACCCACAAGAGCCCTCTGCTGAAGAAATAGCTGAAAGAATGGGGGTGCTGGAAGAGGAAGAATCCGACCATTTGGGTTGGGCAATGCCTACTGACCCCAGAGCTCAGGAAGAGAATTCTGTTACCTTCTGTGACCCAAAGCCAGAAACATGCTCCTGCTGTTTTCCTGAAGAAGAGGATCCCGCTGTCTTGGCAGAGAATGCTGGATTCAGTGCAGACAGTTACAGTGAGCAGGAGGAAACCACCAAAGAAGTGTGGCCCCAGGACTTCAGAGGTGAAGGCTTGGGCATCAGTGCTGATAAGGCACATCCAGGTGGCATGTTGAGGAAACGGGGCCCCCAGGGTCTGGAGTGAAAACAGCCAGTTGGGTGAGGTATCCATTACTCTAATCCCAAGGCGACCTTTCTCCATCTCTGATTTCATCCTTGGCCCTGTGTCCTGTACTTCCTCCTCTGTGTTTAAATATCATAGCCAGTCAGGCCACTACCGTGGATATCATGTATCCTTCCTGGTGCTTACACACCTGTCACCTTGTAGAACATCACAGAGATTAGTAGGAACGCAAGACACCTTCACTCTTTCTCTTCCTGCCTGTCCTCCATCAGAATTGATCCACTGAGTCATCTTTGATCTGTTGTAATTACAGATGGCACCCCTTGGGGCAGAGGTCAGACTCTTCACACTAGGAATAACAGATGGTTTACCTGTGAACGAACATCAGATTACACATGATGAGGACTTAAGATTACAAGAGTGAAGATTTCAGAGTCCAAGATGCCTTATTCTGTAGGCCTTGAGCAGGTTAGTGGTCCACTGGGTTCAAGAAGAAAACATTTTGTTTGTGGGGCTGATGGGGCCAGAGCTGGGCGAGCCTTTGCTGTCTGAGCTGAAGCCCCTTCTTCACGTGAGAGCCTTTTTTAGGAGCATCGAGGCCTCCTCAGATCTGTGCTTTTCTCCAGAGTAGTAGAAGACTCCCACTGACCCAAGAATGAGCCCAGAAGTTTGTTGGGACAGTTTTGCCTGGATCTCAAGCTTCCTTTATCCCTGTTCTGCTTAATGGAACTGCCAAACCCAGAAGCAGTTTATACCTCTGGTCTTCAGTGGCCAGAGGACGCTTTATGTAGAGACTTTAGTCCTTGCCCTGCAGAGCCAAGGTTTGAGGCTGCTAAGGCTTCAGGAAAGCCTGCCCAAGGGTGGCAGTCCTGTCATGAGATGCTTAGAAGGCCAGGGAGCTGGTGATGGGAGAGAACTCGTGCCCTTATGGGCAGTCCTTGCTTAGAAGCTGTTTCTGAATGTTGTGCCCTCTGGCAAATTTATTCTTCTAACAAATCAAATTCAAACAGAAACGAGGACTGAGCTTGTAGACCAAGTGTTAGCCCAACAGGGAAGTTGCAGGGACCCAACAGAGCAGTGCCCAGGAAGAGACCATTTGTTCTCTGTGTGGCTATCTGGGTCTTTTGAGCTGGGCAGAGTAGGAGGTGGGTTAAGACTGGGAGAATTTTGACCAAACCAAAAGCCTAATCTCTGAGCTGCCATCTGTCATGTGTCTCCTTGAGGTAAGATGTATTCCGTCTAGTAAGGGTAAAGTGAATTCAGTTTACAGGAAAGACGTGAGAGTTGAAAGAGGACACCTTCCCGAGGACATTCCCAGTCATGAAACGTGGAAGACTTGAAAATTAAGAAATCATTTGAAGGTAGACTTGGTGGACACTGGGCTTTTAGAGTTCCATTGTGCCTGGCATGAGTTAAGAGGCCGGGAAAATAGCTGAAATCACACATTTAAGTGTGGTCACTGCTGTCACAAGGTACAGGATCGTATTAAGATGATGCGTCAGCCACTGCTAGGCATTTGTTAGTTAACAACTACAGAAAAGTCATTTAAGACTGAGTCTACAGAAAGTATACTGCATCTGTCTCTGTGTGGAACCTTGGATTCACTTGTCAAGAATGCAGTGTAAAATGTACTAAAACCAGTCTAGATGTAATATAATGCTGAAGGTAAAAAATGATGTAGGTGCTCTTTACTGTTTCGATAAATTATTTTCTGTGCTCTTTCTCTTCATTCACAGTGAGGAGAGTTCTGGGACCCTGGTTCAAGTTTCTTTTTTGCCTTAGGATATGATTCCCTTATTAGAGATGTGTATTTGTTTCCTTCTAGCTGATTCATCCATTTATTCATTTAGCAGACACTGCTCAGAGCAGTGGGAACAAAAGGCTCAATTCCTACCTTTAAAGAAACTCAGTTTAACATGGGAGCCTTATCCAATTTATTTTTTTAAATGGTATGTGAACTATAAAAGAGCTCAAGGTCATGAATTCTGCAGGCAGAGAAATGCCAGTCACGATTCCATCTCTGTCCTGTCCTCACTATAGAATCTTGCCAGATCCCTAGCCCCACGAGCCTCAGCTTTCTCGTCTCTAAAGCTGGGGAGTCAAAGTGCAGGTCTCACGGGGTGGTTATGAGTGCCTATAAAACAGCACTGGCCCTGTCTGCTCGCAGTAACCACTCAGTGGGCAGTAGCTTCCTGGCTTTTATCGGACAAGGTTTTGTGCTATAATTGAGATACGAACCCCAATCTATAGGAGCAAAGAGAATTTTTGCTAACGTACTCTCAAGAAACTTCACAGAGAAGGTGGGTCTTGAGGGATGCCAGGAACTTTTCCAGGTGGGCAAGGGAGAGAAAGGACATTCTTGGCAGAAAGAGTGGTGTTAGAGCAGCCAGTTGTGAAAGTAAATGGATGTTCAGGTATTTTAACGAGGCTGGTGTGTTAAGTGTCACATAAACAACTCTTTATTTGGAATGTTAATGAGCGGAAGTGGCTTATGGAAATAGTTCCTGCCAGAAGTACTAGACCTCAGGATGGCTCCTGCTGCCCTTGTTCTTGGTTGGTTTATATAGCAGGACTATGTCTATGTATTTATATTTCAAACATTTTGATGTGCTTTTTGGTCATTTCAGATTAGGCAGCCCTTTGTTGGATTTTCCATTTATTCTTCAGGGATGACAGCTATATTTGTATATACAACCCAGGAAGACCAAAATCATGGGACTCATTTTTGTTGTGATGCCGGCTGTCTTTCTCCTGGTCTTCATTTCTCAGAACCGGTCTGGGCTGTGAATGTGACCAGCCCCCTGACACTAGGTCTGCAGTGACCTTTGGGCACTGTGGCAGAGCACAGTCATATCTCTGGAGGCAGACAGTTGGCCTCAGAAACAGCTGCATCGCTGGGAACCATGGTGGGTGGTTTGGCCACGAGATCCCCATTCCTGGTCGGCAGGAGCACATGGAGAGCATTTCCCTCCAGGACTAGTGCAGAGTGAACGCTAGGAGCTGGGCCCAGAGTGGGGCGCTGAGGAGCGGGGCCAGTGCTTGGCCTCTGCAAGAGATGGCCTCTGAGAGTGATGGCCGCTGTCTGTACCTTCTACGGGTGATCCGACAACTTATGGTCCAACCTGGGACACTGGGAAAAGGGAGCTTTAATAAAAATCATGCCCCAATAATAGGTTAAAGCAGGACTCTCCGCAGGACTCTGTCATGGCTATATAAGAGATCTGTCGTTAGCCTGACCACTAAACCACCACCACCTCCTTTCTTTTTAGTAATGCCCTGCATGTGCTATTTTCCAGAGGCAGAGCCCAGGAGCGAGGCCGTGGTTCAGGTAGGACATAAAAACTCCAAATCTGGGGTAGTAAATAAACCAGCCCTTCTTATTACCACACTCTTAAATTCCCTCAACCCAGACTATATGCTAAAGGAAAATCTAACACTTCAGCTACCCAGTGAGAACAACATGAAGTATCAGTGATTTTGCCTTGACGATTTTCACACAAATCCTTCTAAAATGTACTTCATCTTTGCTATTTTTCCTTTTCCATCTTCTTAGATTTAAGCACTGATTTCCTCATTTATGAACTGGGAATAATATCCCCCTTGCAAGGCCAGTAGGATTCAGTGAGATGACAGGATCACACTGTCAAGTCCTGTGCTGCCTGGAACCCTCCACGGCTACTCTGCTGGGAATGGCCCAGAGCAGAGTCCTGCAGTCTTGGGGCGGCTTAACTTTGACCGCCTCCCTCAGGATCAAACCCATAGCTTTCATGTCTGCTTCCAGCCACAACTGCAACCTCCCTTGCTCAGGCTTCATATCTGCCATAGGCTGAAAAGAAAATTGCCAAGCCTGCAGCAGGGTTGTCCTGTTGAAACAGGTTAGGCTGCTCTGCCTAGAGCTTGAGGAGTCGAGTGGCTGGGTTGTCATGTCGTTCCTACCACTTGGGCCCTCTTTTTGTTCCTAAGGGCCAGGCCCACAGGGGTTTACTTAGGACCCAGCAGCCCATCCTTCTCGCTGGCTCAGCTGGCCTGCAGAGGATGCTCTAACTGAAGTACCTTCTGTCCTTACCATTCTTCCAGCCCTTCCCGACCTCTGCGTGACTTGAAGAGCACGGCCAGAGGGAAGATGTGTAATTACTTCTAAACAAGCTATGATCCCTTGTTATCACCACCTTCCTGCCCACCCCTGAGGCTCTTAGGACAGAAGGAATGAATGGTGTAGCAAAAAACTTTTAGGTAAGAAATGTTATTTCTTTTATAGGGGAAAAAAATTGCACAGAAGTGTTGAAACAGTTCAAGTTTAATTTGGTATAGGGTCTGTACTGAGACAAACACTAAGTTCTACAACATACATGATGTCAACATGGGAAAATACCAACTCTGTCATTGCACATACCAATAAATACATATATCTGCTCCAGAATACCAAAGAGTTTATTCAAAAAGTCACTTAATAAAAGCACAGTTTTGCAAGTTTGTCTAAAACTCCAGGTAATTTTGAACAAAAATAAAATGTCTGACCACTCCAAAATAGGAAAAGACAATCTTGTGCAAATAGACATACACATCCTAGGCATTATGAAAACTGGCTAAATGTATGCTCCCAGCAAGAGAAGGTTCACCCATCCTAAGTCCCCTTTGTCACCAAATGGAGGATTAGAGGCCAGAGTTGGGCTTCCCGTTCTAAGCCACTCTGTCCCTCTCTAGGAAACTCAGATCTCGGCCTAATCTCCAGCTCTGCCTGGACCTTGATGGTGAAGGTTGGGGAGGGACAGAAGAATATAAGAGGAAAGGGGTGTGACATCTTTCTTAGGAAAGAAAAAAGGCACAGTGATGAGCTAGAAAGTGATGAAAGCAAGGACCAACTTCCACTCACCCTGAGTCCCACTGCAAGCTGTAACAGTCCTACCTCCCAACTGTGCAGACGAGAAAACAGACCTAGAAAAATTACTTGGTTTGCTCAAATCACTTGGTTACTAAGTAGTGCTTTCTGTAAGACCAACTTGCCTCTCAACTTGGGTGAAAAAATCAAAAAGCAAACCTGTCCCAGTACTCCTGCTGAACCTCTCCCCACATACCCTGAGATGACAGAAAACTGCCAGCTGGAGGTGTGGAAGGACAGGTGACCAGTACACTCAAACAAGAGCCCGTCCTTTGGCCTGTTCCTGGGGGCAGCTACAGTTCTACAAGCCGGGGCCCAGCGCTGGGCTGAGTGCAGGGGAGTCAGGCCCTGCTCTGTCCTGGACACCACAAGAAAGACTCATTCAGTATATGAAAAAAAGTGTGCTCTTGGCATCCTGAGCTGACAGGGGTATCTCAGCTGGGGTGAAGGCTTACAGAGAGGGGAGGCCAGTGTTAACTGCAGTAAGGGGAAAGCAGGGACTCCATCTAGGAGATAGAATTTGTGCTTGCAAAACAGAGCCACAGGCATGGCCAGCCCAGCATCTCCCCTCACTGCAGGCCCCACTGTAAGGAAAGCATGGGCAGCTTAGTTTAAAATCATCACTGTGGCTTGTTAAATTCACAACTGCCTCTAAATAGACGGTAAATCCATTTAGAGGTAAGTGCCTTGCTATTTCCAGAGCAAAGAAAAACGTCTGCTTCTACAGCTTTGTTGCCCTGTCACTAAAGGAGGTGGGCTCCAAAGGTTCTCTTCTAGCCTGTGGCGCTCATGCTCCCGGGCTCCTAAAACCTGTCCTCAGCACAGGTCTGGACCCTACGTGCTCCTTCGGAATTAGTGTCATGATTTTTAAGGCACATTCAACTACAAGATGTTCAAGTTCATCCAAAAGCATGCATGCAACACACCAGTTTCCTCAGCTTCTGCGGACTGGGAACTGAAAAACATTTTTGGATGGTGTCTCCCTAGTCAGAAACGTGGCAGAAAGACTTGGGAGACCAGGTACACTTTCAGATCAAAGAGCATGAAATGAATGAACAAAATCCACATGTGATCATGCCTGTATCCTTACTCCTTTCCTACTCACCCATAGAAATGATCTTATGATCTAATAGGAAACCTCGGTTGATTGTTTGCAGATTGCCCTTTGCCCCAAATACAGAGACACAGACAGACACAGAGCACCTTGGAGCCAGAAGGGGGGAAAAAAGCTGAAATTGGAGAAGAGTTGGGGAAGTGAACTTCACTGCTCTGTGGAACTGTTTTGGGGCAGAGTTTTGAGGTGTGGCACTGGAAGCAGTTACAGAGAAGCTGCCTAAGGTCCTAGCTACCCACCACCCTTTGGGACTGTTCTTTCCATCACCAAGTTCCCTGCCCAACTGAGGACCGTCTGGGTAGAGGGTATGAAGGACCAGAACTCACTACGGGAGAGGCTGAGCCCCAGGGGCCCTGGCAGCTTTATGAGCCTTTGGGCCCATGGCTGTGAAGCCACTGGTCAAGGAAAGCCAGCATCACCAGGCATGGGGTCTTAAGAATAGACCTTGTGAGGCTGGGTGACTCAACTGCTCTTACTTGTCACTCTGCCCAACAGAGGGTTCTGTTGCTGAGCTCCCCTTCTCCAGGCCCGGGCTGGAGATCTCAGCCCACCTTCCCAACCCCACCAAAATACCCTTTCAACCTCCGTCCTGAATACGAGAGGAGAAAGCAGGGGACAAGTTTCCCATTGTGCTTCTGATGAATTTCCAACTCTGCCAACAGGACCCCACCTCTCATGAGGATCCAAATTAGCTTGTTCTACCTTAAAACTGCAGACAGAGAAACAGCCTGACTAGACTTCAGCGATCACCTAGTTTCCATCATTACAAATGTCAGCAGGTCTCCCCTCCCAAAGTCAGGAAAGGAAGAGCCAAACTGGGACTACGGAAAAGGAGGAAGGACGGCCCTACAGTGTTTCACTGGGAAGTGGACCAGCTCCAGTACAAGTGCTGATGCCCTCAAGATGGCCCCAAGTCGAGAGTGTCTAGAAACTAGGCCATGTGAACAAAACCTGGATCGCTCACAGAGACGAATGCCCCCGGCACAGGCAGACCCCTGCTAGAACCGGTACGCCCTGCTCCAAGCGCGCCACACAGGAGACCCAGGATACCAGGAGGTGAGGGCGCACTATTCCACTGAAGTCAAAACAACTCCTTCACCTCACTCAGAGCCCCGCTAACATGTTTAAAGTATGACTTAAAAAAACAATTCCTATGTAGTTTTTCCAAGCACGGCTGTCTGCTCTGAAGTGAGGAACTACTGCCTGCTTCCCACTAGTTTCTGCTCTCCATCTGGGCAAGTAGCCCCCGTCGGGGTAAATGACAAAAACACAGGAATCCCCAAGCCTTCAGAGTAGATGGTGCCACCTGAGGAGGAGAGATCAGGCCCGACCGCGCACAGCCCACGTGTCACCCCGAGAGGAAGACGGGCAGCAGCCTTGCTAAGCCCTGCCCGCGGGGGGAAGCCAGACCCAGGCCTGGCCTGATTGGGGACTGCAAAACCAGATAGCTTTCAGCAGGGAACTGCCCGATTTCCTACTGAAATGGTTTCAACCTCATCAACTCTTGACATTTCTAAGTCTCTGGAAATACACACAAGGGCATGCAGACCAGACCCAGGAAGGCGAGAGAGCAGTTTCTTGGGGGAGGGTGGGAACAACGAAATCAAGGGAGCTAAAGTTCTGAATTCTGCCACTACCCAGCCAGGGGACCCAGGGCAAGCGCCACCTTCTAGATGCTAAGGATCCTGCCACCTCTGATGTCTTGTGGTTCTAAGATACCCCTGCTCCCCTCCCCAGTCCCATTCCCAGCTAAGGAGACCCACACACAAGCCCTCAGCAACCACGGCCCAGGCTGACTGCTGCGGGGACTGAAGCATGGGCAGGAGCCCCAGGCACTCGTGCCTGTGCAGTCTGGGCTGGCGCCCCGAGGTCTGTGCAGGGGCTGCTCAGTACAGCATTCCTGGAGCAGCTGGCGGGGCTCCAGGTACCCCTGTTCCCTGCCCTACCTGCGTGCTGAGCCTGGGCCCCACAGGCCCCTCCTCTAAGACACCTGGCCTGCCACCTCTGCGCATACAGAGAAATCCTATCAAAGTCAAATCAACTTGAACCCTGGCCCCCCCAGCCCATTCCCACAGCCACAACTGGGCCCCTGCGGTCCTGACAAGGTCCCATCACTCACCTTTTCTCACCCTTGTAGCTCCTCCCAGGCCCGGCTGAGGCCTTTGCAAGTTGCAGGACTTTCTGCAGTTGTCAGAGCCAGGCTCCGCTACTGAGCCCTTGGCCGTGTAAAGCTGGCATGCCCTGCACACTAACACACACGCTCACTGTGCCCTCACTGCTGGGGACCCGTCATCAACTGACGTCTGGGCAGCAGCCCTACTTTGTGTTCCCTCCTCCCGCCTCCCCGGCTGAAGGGGCTGCCCAGCTTGGCAAATGTGACTGCAGCGGGATACTAGCCCAAGTGTTAGGGGGTGCACTGACCTTGGGGCACAGAAAGAATTCATGCTGGTCCCTTCATACCCACCCCTCCTCAGCAGCGGAGGCAGAGCCAGTTCTGGATGGCTGGGCCCAGGGGCCCACTGAGAGCCAAAGGTTCATCTGCCAGGAGGCCTAGCTACAGGGGTCGGCAGGGTGGTCTCCGCAGGCAGGCAGCTCCACTCCAGGCTGGGCAACCCCAAGGGCAGGAGGCGGCCTCTACTCGCAGGCCAGCTTACTGTCGAAGCTGGACAGGGCAATGGCAAAGGCCTGCAGCGCACACAACGGGTAGTTGTAATCCATGGTGAACACGTCCTCTGCTACGCGGCCAAACTGCATCACGATGTAGTCCGCTGGAACCAGGCACAGCGTGGACAGAGACGGGCGGGCAGAGCAGGGATGGTGCAGATGGGGAGGGACAGACACCCAGATCACACAAGGGAAGAGAAAGCGAGAAGCAGAGATGCCAGGGGAATCCCAAAGGAGGTAAAACAGACCAATTGAGAAGCAGCAGGAGAGACAGAACAGATGGCAAAGGGGAAAGACGTACGCAGACAGCAGGAGACAGGGAAGGAGAGAGAAAGTCCATTCACAGGGGGTCCCCACACCTGAGACTCTGCCGAGTGCACAGGATCTAGGGTCAGAGCTCCAGAGAAGGTTCCTCCAGGGCCTTTGTGGTTAGAAAGTTCTTTACATCTAACCTAAGTCGTATAATCCGCGTCCTTAACCACGGACCTACGTGGGCAGGGCAAGGTGAGCTGAACCCGCACTAAGGGCCCCAAGTGGCGCGTGAACATAACGAGTCAGGGCAGAAGCACTCACGGTCATTGCCGTGGATGATCTGGAAGTTCTTCACAGAGGCCTGTGTGACGCGCCCGTGGAAGTTGAGTACGTAGGACTGTGTGTCATCATTCCAGACAGGCGTCTTGTTTTGCAGCTCAATGATACTCTCCGTGTTCTTGTTCTGCCAGCGCGCTAGCAGCGTCTCGTGCTCCTGGGAGGGCAGCCTCAGCTGAGCCAGGCTGAGCCAGCACCCTGACCACCCCAGAGAGGGCTCTGCCCCAGGGGTGGGGGCCCTTAGAGTGTCCTGGACCTCCAGGGCTTCCCACACTGCGTCTCCTCCACATATACACACTAGCTGGAGTTCTGCCCTTAGAAGCTCATGCAGAGGCTGGGATGGTGGGGAAGGCGGGCGGGATTGGGGAGAGACTCACATTGCGGGGCCGGATAGAGACTCTCTCGTGAACCATGGTCATGCCGGGGACAATCACACTCATCTTCCGTGGCCCCTTGAAACCTAAGACATTTGTTTCCTAGGAAAGAGAAAACACTGGCCGTCTGAGGACTCCACTTACCTACTGGAGAGACCCAGGGGAGGGAATAAAAATGAGCTAGTTTTAACCACTGGAATGTCCACCAGACATCTCTAAACTTACCACATCCACAGCTGGGCGCCTGAGTCCCCACTCTGCCCAAACTGGCCTCCTCACCTCAGTTAACAGCAACTCAATTCTTCTGTTTGCTCAAACTACTGGGACTCATCCTTGATGCCCCTCTTCCTCTCCCACCCCACTTCTAACGCATCAGCAAATGCTGTCAGCTCTTCCTTCAGATTATAGTCAGAATTCAACCACCTTCCACCACCGCCACCTCTGGCCAACATCACAGCACTAGCCTTTAACTGGACTCCTTGTTTCTTTCCATCCTCGGCCCCCTGCCCTCCTCACCGTCATGTGTTCCTCACACAGCAGTGAGTGGTCCTGTTAAGTCAGACTGTTTTCCTCCCCAGTTCATTCAAAGTCAAAGCTGAAGGTCTTACCTCGACCTGCAATGCCTCACATAATATGGCCCCATTAGCGCCTCTCTTCCCCACTTCCTCTCTGCATCCGCTCTTCTCTCTAATCACCAGGCATCCAGGGCTTTTGCCCTCGCTGTGTTCTCCCCGACACCTACATGGTGGGCTCTCACTTCCTCTGGCCTTTACCTAAGCGCTACCTCGGGGAGGCCCTCCCTGCCATCATTCCTAGAAGGGCACTCCTATCTCTTCCCTGCTTTATTTTTTCCATCTTAACATTTATCGGGAATTATTTTGCTTATATGACGGTTTTATAGCTTACCTCCCCCACCAAGGGTTTAAGCCCCATAAAGGTATATATGTTTGTATCTCTTGTTCACCACTGTATTCTCAGTGCCTCCCTCAAACAGCACCTGGAACGTAGCGGGGGCTGAGTAACTGAAGAGATTCAGGCTGCCTCCCCAAAGTTGACCGACAGGTGGCACCACGGGATCATACAAAACAGCTATGGATTCCCAATTAGCCTCCAAAAAATGCCCATGACCAGACTGACGATACCAGTCCCTCATTTCAGAATGAGATGGAGTAATCCCCTGTTTATATTCGTTTGGTCATTTATGAGCCATAAATGGCAAGTGACCCAACCTCTGATCTTCAGTTTCCTCATCTATATAATAAATAGGATAGAGCTCTTAGGTTGAATATTCAGTGAGATGATTATACTAAGTGCCTGATAGTCCATTCAGGACCTGAATACCAGGGGGAGGGTTGGAGGGTGGCTCCAACAAGAACCCAGGCCTCTGCCTCCTCTCCAGGAGGCCTCCAGGCTGGGCTGCAGAAAGCCAGGCCTAGTTCCCGAAAGTCCACAGGTAGGGGCCACTCCACAGAGGACAGCCCGCTGTGCAGCCTTGTCTGTCTACAAAGATAGGTGGGATAGGCCACAGATCAAGTAGCAAGTCCTGAGTGTCATGCCTAGCCTGGAGACCAGAGACCCAGGCACCCACGACTCACGTAGCATACGGCAGCCAGCTCCTGGCGCAAGGTTCCACTTTCCAGAGTTGAGGAGGATGCCTTCTGCGGGTTGACTCCATTGTCATAAACGGTGAACTTAGTGCCCATGAGGTTGGACCTGGAGGACAGGCACAATCAGTATAGAGTCGTGCACCCTCTGCTCTGGGGTCTATCCTATGAGGAGCCTGCAAAGCATTCTGGGCTGGGCCAGGAGCAGACCTGGGGGCACAGTGCGCATATAATCCCCATCTGTGAAGGCGCTTCCTGGACTTGCTCTGAGTTGAGTCAGAGAGCATCTCAGTTCAGTTCAGGGAAGTCTGGGTTCCACAGAAAGCCTCCCTGGAGGAACAGGAGTGGCTTCCCTCAGGGGACGTGAGCAGGCAGAGGGGCATCTGGCAAGCCTGCGAGGGGACTCAGCACCCAAGGAGGGCGGAGGAGATGACCTGTTCTGTCCTGCCCAACCTGTGAGTTTGGGTCCAGCTCCATCTCCAGCTTTAACTCCTTGCCTCTAAGCTTGATTTATGCTCCCAGATCCAGTGCTCTTCCTCAGCAAACCCTCCCTCACCTAAGGCCGAGCTCAGGGCCTTCCCCAACCCAAGGGCTCACTCAGCCCTGCCCCCCTGGCACCAACCATGGTGGCCTACATCATCAGTGACATCCTGGGGTTTGACCTATCGCCCTTAGTAGGCCTGCACCCCCCTGCCCCTGCCTGGGAGCAGCTTCGGGTAGGATGTGTGGGCTCATCTCCAAGTCTGGCTCTAGGCTGGCACAGATCTAGGCCTATGGTTGATCTGACAGAGAAGACCCTGGGAGAGGACCTGACCTCCTTCAGGGACAGGAGGTGCGCCCTACAGAGAGCCTGCCCCTGCCTCCCCCACCCTCGCCAGCTTCCTTCAGGAGTGCTGGTACCGCAGTTT